GTTCGTAATCACCACGATCTGGGGCTTCAGATCTGAAAGCGGGTGAATTGAGTCGCGATGAATGCGTGGAAAAATCCCCAAGCGGGAATGGAGATGGAGGATTTTGCGGAACCCTGTCCTCAGTATCAGAGGGATCCCGGCTGCGAGCACCTCTTTGACCTTGCAAGTCAAATCTGTCGTCGTCTGCAGGAGAAGGGCTTCGAGTACGCCTCCGTTTTGTTGATGGCGTTGGTGAGAAATCAGGGCGTCTCCCAGGTCGGTCGCCAAATTGCTTTCGAGGTGGTGGACGATGTTGATGCTTGGATTTTGGGAAACGACGGGGAGGCGAAATCGAAGACTTTCTACCATGCAATTTCCTGGCGTCTCCGTCCCTCGAAAATTGCCGCCTCCAACGTGGTTCACGAGGTGGTCGATCAGGACGATGCCCCGGTCCTAGAGGCGCCGAGCGTTCTGCTTCTGGATATCCAGAATGTGGTGAATGAGGACGACCTCCTCCTCGATTTGCGTCTCTGTCCCGCGGTCGATGATGTGGATGTCTCGGGCGCGGATCCTCTTCGCCTCGCCAGCGATTCTTCATTGATGGGCTCCTTCGAGACCTCGCCATGTAATGCGGGGCGGCATTTGCAAAGATGTGGTCGGTAGAGATTCGCGGGTTTGTGGGGGAGTAATGGTCGTAGAGGTGGTGCTCGTGAGGCAGCGGATTTGGATGTTGGGTAGTGAGTCCTGCGCAGTTTGGAGATTCAGCGACGGAGCCATGAGCCAGATGCGGACCAAGGTTGCATGGGTAGGGCGAGGACCCAAAGACTTGGCACGCCCATCACCTCCCACCAACTGTGCCAGCTCGCCCCAAAGTCGGACTCGAGTTCGACAACGTTGACACCTGCAGGCCCTTCCAATTCCGGGGGGTTTTGGGGTGTTTAGGGGAGACAGAGGACTCACCTGTTGCCGGTCCAGGCTCCCACTCATGCTGCCCCAGGCGTCGTGTCTCTGTCTCGGTCTCCCTGTCCATCTCCGGCCGCGTTCTGCTCGCCACCTCGCCAGGTCCGTCATGCTGCATCAGCCTCTCTTTCGCCCTTCTTTTACCTTTCTTTTTGCCCATCACTCTGAATGACTCCAGTAATGATAAGGCTGCAATCTACCACACACAAACTACAATCACCGGAGTCGGTTTGTACTTGTCGTGAGAACTACACCAACAGTGCAATCTCAGACTGAGTCGAGCGTGTTGCGTTGTTGGCAGCAATTCAAGGGCGTAAAAGGTCAAAAGGTCGAGCGTCAGTCTGCACTTCAGAGTGACAGTACTAAACGCGACAGTCTATCTACGTGGATTCTTTTTCTCGGCGCTTCTCCCAGACTTGTCAACACGCAAAAAATGACAGCCAGTGACTTTCACGCGTTTGCGCTTTGCCGTTCAACTGCCTGTAGGGAAACGCCTTGAATATTAACCTTTCTCCCCATCTCCCACCGATATCAACCACCTCTCCAAACATTATCTGCTCTTGTGAAATCCGACACTGGCCACAGAAAGGCAGCAATGTCTGTTCACACAGCAACGGCATCGATGAAGCCTAGATGTCAGTTTGCGCTTGTTAGACGTCGTGTCAACAATCAAGCTGCTGTGTCTCCATGGCCTTTCGGACCTTGACCTAAGGATTTTCCAAGTAGCTCTGGGGGATGTAGAAGTGGCAGATGTATCTTGTTAGCAGTGGTTGATGCAGACCATAAAATTGGTATCGTCGGGTCGGGAAAGACGGCAGATGACGTGAATTGGATGAATTGTAACATGACCCGATAGGTGTGTTTGACGAGGATGATCCGGCCTTTGGGTGATGCAAATATCTTGGGAGCAAATGGCAAGTAACAACCGATGAGCGTAGAGAGCAGAACTACATATCCAAAAGCATCGCCGACGATATTGCGGGTGGTCGAGGTTGTTGCCGATAATTCATGTCCATAGAAGGTGGGTGCTGGAAGTGAGTAAATGTAGCTGCTGACCGCCTATCGTCCATTTGCGCCTTGGATGATATCTGCGGGGCACAGCCGAGGAAAAACAATCAAATCTCAGTTCCGGAATTGGAAGAGAAGCTAATGGACAAAGTAACAGAGGCATCAGACACGACTTCACCATATCCCGACGGTCTACATCGTCCAGGAATAACAATGATGAAAGATGTTGAGAAGTTGGAAAGAAAGGGATCCGGCAACTTTGGATGCCAAGACGCTAGCGTAGGTGGAGGCTGGGCATTCGGAGAAGCAAATGGGTCTTGATGCACAGTTCAAGACAGTTCAATATGCATCTCGTCAAGTCATCTATCTCTGCAATAGCCCAGGTAACTGCCCGACCAACTTCGCATCTGTTGTGTGCTGGTAGGAAGTATTTTCTTGGGCCACCCTGCCGCTCTTGTGATCTCACCATGGTTGAAACAAAGAATTGAGTTGGTACACATCTCAGCGTCAAGCCCAATGGGTTGACCCTCCCGAATCAAGGTTGTTCACCCATCCACGCTCATCTTCTCGCCAATGCCTTTTTCTCCCATCAGCTCGCATCCTGTCCGCACAACGCCAATCATACCACCAGTTTGCACACCCTCACTTCCGCCTCCTGCCAGTCTGTACTCGATTTCTGCGAGCCCTTGCAACCATATTACTCTGGTTGCAGGACTAACCTCGAGGTTCTGCAATTCCTCGGCCAGCGCGGTCAAAATATCTGCAAGTGCCAGACCACGACTGCTCTTCAAGGCATTGATCGTCCTTAGACATTCCGTTAGATCTGGCGTGCTCAACATGGTTGTCATGATCAAGCGGATATCTTCCGGGTGTGGCGCTGCAATGCAGTTGTAGATCGTGTCGTTCGTAATCAGCTCATACTTGATCTCTGATTCTGGAATGGGAGGCTGCCCTCGCATCGGGAGAGGTCGTGATCCAGCGTAGCAGGCTTGAAGAACATTCAACGCTCGACGCATGTCACCTCTCGACAATTTGACCAACGAGTCCACTGCTTCCGGCGTGATATTGACCTTTTCTTGTGAAATCACCTTGTCCACCAGCCGACGGATATCTGCTTCCTTCAGCGGCGAGAATCGAAACCGTGTACATCTCGATAACAGTGCTGGAGACAATTTATGTGTGTAGTTTGCAATAATGCAGAATCTTGTGTTGGCCGTATATTTCTCCATAATCCTGCGTAAGGCCATTTGTGCCGCGGACGTCATTGCGTCTGCTTCGTCGAGAACGATCAGCTTGAAGGCCCCTAGGCCCAATTTTGGCCCGCCCGGAGTTTGCTGCGTTGAGGTGCTGAAGATCTGTTTGGTTGAGGCGAAAGTTTTGATTTGCTCTCGAACAACGTCGATGCCACGATCATCGGATGCGTTGAGTTCGAGGACCATCTGCCTCATGTTCTTGGGTCCATATATCTGTCGCGCCAGCGCCAGAATTGTCGACGTCTTTCCTGTACCTGGCGGTCCATAGAAGAGGAGATGCGGTAACCGGTTGTGCTCAATAAATCTATTGATTGTAGCGAGGATATCTTGGTGCCCAGACACATCGTCGAGGGTGTTGGGCCGGTATTTCTCAACCCTTGTTTCTTGTGAGCAGCTAGATCACCACTTTATTGTGCAGGAGACGGCGGCATACCATGGTAAGTTGTCCTCCGCTTCCACCGGCAAGTCTGCAGCTATTCGTTTCTGTTTGCCCGCCGTGCTGTCTGAGCTGAATTTGATAGACTTGTCCTTGGACACAGGCGCGTCCAGGTCCATCTCATCTTCGTAGTCCGACATCTTTGTCTGTTGTCACTGTCAATTCCTATAAAAACATGCTTGAAAGGGTTGTGAAGTTGTTCAGATGGATGTCAATGTTCCACCCCCATGACGCGCCTGCACCTCCAGAGACGCGTTAATTGAAATGCGGTTTGTGAATAGATATTCCACCATAGTGACTCTCCATCCCCGCACACGAATGCCAAGCCGCGTTTGCGGGCTCATTACATTGGTGGGACGCAGTAGTGACCTTACAGCAAATGCCTGGAAGGAAACGCACTCAATTCCTCGTCCGCAGTGAGATGGGAACCTGAGGAACTGACTGCTACTCTTGATCTCTCCTGTTTGCGTGCTCTCACGCAACCTTGTAGGAAGTCAAGATGCCGGTGAGTCAACGCTAGTCCTGCTACACTGCATGAATCCGCTGACATCTCATTCACAGGCATACCACTCCATCTTCCTGGGGGACCAGGGCGTCCAGCTAATAGGTATTCTCACCACGATCAGACAACACGACACCTCACAAGCTCTCTCGCGTGCTAACATCTGTGCTCCAAAAAGGCAACTTTCCACTCCTCCCGCTTCGCACGAAAACCCGTGGTCCAGCATACACCCTTCCAGCTCTTCCTCCCAATGTTGACCCCCTCGACGTCGACCCGGACTCCGAGTCCTACGATTGCCTCGACGAAATCCTGAGCTTGTTCCGCGCCAACACCTTCTTCCGCAACTTCGAAATCAAAGGTCCCGCAGACCGCATGCTCATCTACGGCATCCTCTTCCTGTCGGACTGCTTGACGAAAGTAAAACCGAACATGGACTCCCGTGCGGCCGAGAAGGCCCTGATAAACGGAGCGCTGGAGCAGTTTAGCATTCCAGGGGAGCCAGGATTCCCGCTCAACCAAGCGTATGAGGCACCGAGAGACCGGAACGAGGCTGAGGCTTTGAGGAGTTATTTGAGCCAAGTGAGACAGGAACTGGCAATCAGGCTGCATGCTCGGCTCTACGCGGATGGAAGCAATGTACCGAGCAAGTGGTGGCTAAGTTTCACAAAGAGAAAGTTTATGGGGAAGAGTTTATAGAGGAATATTCGAAGGAAATGCATGGCCAAGCTGCATATTAGGCACGAACTGATGAGAAGGTGTTTATGGCTGTTTCCCACGACGATAAACCGAAAATTCCGTGCAATGGCATATTATCCAATAACGTATGCTCAATGTCCCAACTGTCTCTCTTCTAGTAGCCGATTTATGCCTGGTTGACGACAGGATCGGGCGTGTCCAGACGGTCTGGTTGTTCCGCCGCAGTCTCGACCTTCAGTTTCTTCAGCGGTGACTGGGGCTGCTCCTCGTCGTCTGCTGCTCTCTTCCCTTCCTCGAGCTCACCTGCGACCGGACTTTCCGCAGGCTTGTCATCAGCCTTGATCTTCTTCCCCCTGGGCGGCCTTCCTCTCGCCTCAACCTTGCCCTCTGCTGGTACCACCCTTGTCCCTACGAATATGTAGCCCTCTGCACCACCTCGGCTTGTCATCAGCGGATGTGTCCGTCCGGGCAGGACCTGCCACTTCCTCACCCTCGCTGTGTGCACCGTCGGGGCTAGAAGGAGTGTTGGATCGACAGGAAAGTCCTTGGACGGGACAGTCCGCTGTTCCAGAGGTGTGTTGATGAACGCAGCTCTCCGTGCTGTGGAGTAGCAGTCTGCCAATTCGACGAGGGGTTCGACGTTGGGTGAGTAGACCACGACTTGGCTGCCGCCCGCCAGCAGAGGCACGAGGTGGCGCAACGTCGACGACGGGTCGGCGAAGCTGGCTACGATCAGGCCGTTGAAGCCGCCCGCCTGCGTCTCGTTCACGACGTTCCTGACTCGTTCCCACCGTCGGCGTTTGCGGTAGTATGCACTCCTTCGGTTCGATTTCATCCTCGCCAGTTCGGTGTCCGGGATCTGGGGCGGTTCTTGATACGTGATGGCGGACTCTGGCTCGAGTAGCTGCAACCACGAGAGCGTTTTCATATTCGTGTATAATGGATGAGAAGCAGTGGGGGCGTTGGAGTCGAAGTTGAAATAGCGCAAGAGGCCGAGATTGGGTTGTTGATTCGCATGCACGAGCGTGATGGTGTTGGAGGTTGCGCTCATCGCCGAGCGGCGGTATCGTTGACGATAGGGCTTTCGAGGCAGCAGATGCGTCGGTGTCTCATCGGGTTGTTCATCGTCCACGTCTTCGTCTTCAGGGTTGCCAGCCACCTCGTGTGCGATGTCTGTTGGGTGCAAAATCCCCATTCTCTCCGCCATGGCTGCGACCAGCAGACCGCCCGTGTCGTCCACAACCAGATACCGCGCATATGGGTCCATATCGGAGAGCATGGCAGAGTCTTGCCCGGCAGCGTGAACATTCGCCCAGCACCCGACCAGGCCGAGGACTTCGTTCCTCATCTCCATGACCTTGGCAAACTCCCGATCGGCCATCATCCAGTCGACTAGGGTTGACACATCTAACGGCAACACAGTAAACTGCTTCATGTACTTTTTGTGCTTCCTGAGCGTATACTTTGCCAGAGAGAAAGCAGTCTTCTGGTCCAGGGTGGAGTGGGACTGCATTATCTTTTCGATCAGTTCTCGCCCGCTACCCATGGTGTTGCGCTTTAACGTTTCGATCTCGGCCATGGTCAACTTCTGGTTCGTGGGATCATCGTGGGTGTTGACATTGGACTTGGGCGTCGTCGTGGTCGTCGTCTGCTGTTGTGACACAGCGAGTTCGTCCGGCTCGTTCGCAGGCGTCGGCACCTCTCCGTCCGTCTCAGCCTGCTCGACCAAAGCCATGGCATGCAACTCGGCGGCCTGCACGACGCGGAGCTCTTTGCCATTCTCGACTTCGGACCGGTCGAGGATCTCAAAAGTCAGGTGGTACGGACGGCCTATGATCTGGTTTGTGCGGAAAGACCCATATTTGCCCAGGTTTATCAGACTTTGTGGGGGAAAAAGAGACAGAGTCAGCGACAGCTCATCAAGGCCGTTGGCTGATATCTGTTTATGGCCTGACAGATTTCCTTTTCATTCTTTCTCGGTGTGCAAAAAAGACCTACGTGTTGGGGAGCATTTGTTCGACTCTTGTCTGATCGGAGGGCAGCCGAATGGCGACATATTGGTAGGGCTGGATGACTGAAAAGGCCATTTCGCCCTGCCGTGCTAGACCCAGTGAGATTGGATAGGGGTCTTTCAACTTTGAATCGTCACAGTTTCGAGGGATGGATCATAATGATATATGTGGTAAATGGCTGGAAATCTTTAACATATTTTTATCGAGAACTTCCGATCCAGGGATTGGCCATCTTGCCGCTCTATTTCTTGGCCAAACACGTTGGATTGGTTCGGCTCAACTTCGGCTCAGCCTTGTTCAGCCTGAGGCAGCGACGGAATCGATGCAGAGCAGTGCCCCAATATTATTGATTCGCCTGGAGAGACACGACGCCCACGGATCACCATTTACTCACCCAGTGGATACCTCGATGCCAAACCTTGCGTATGGAAAGTCTTCCAAACTGGTCAGGCACTCTCCCCACCCATCATCAACCTCACCGAGCTGGTCTTCATTGCCAATCTTTACAAGACCAGTCCTGCCGGCGAGCACCTCCATCTCCCGTCCCCTAAATTCAGCATACAGACCTGGGTGAGGGACCCATGCCACTCTCATGCCGGCTCTTCGCCCCGCCTCGACGCCTGGCACGCTATCTTCGAAGACCAAGCATTCCTCAGGTGCGATTGGAGGTGATCCTTTCGGGAGCCTGGAGTTGAGTACTTGCAATGCACACAGATAGATATCAGGTGCTGGTTTGCCCCGGCCTTTCTGGACACGTGGATCGTCGCCCAGCACACGGTGTTCTTCAGGGATCCAATCCAACAGCCTCTTCGTCTCCGGCCTCACCACTTTGCGGCTGTAATTAAGCTTCCCGGTGCTGGTGGCCAGAGCTATCTCCACAGGCAGGCCAGTAGTCGTTCTAGCCTTATTAAGATCCTGGAGGAGCTTCTCGGCGCCAGGCAACGGTAAACATTGAGCAAAATGGATCTGCTGTTGTTCACTCTGTTCTCTCGCGTACTGTTCCCTGGAAACAGGCAGCTGGGCCCATTGGTGAAAGACGTTGCCGTTGGAGCTTCCAGGAACCCCCATAAGTTTAGCCTTCACAGACCAGGGTAGCCGCGGACGGCCGTATTTGAGAAGGACATTGTCGGCGCATAATGTGTAGATGTCTTCGGTGTTGAGCAGGAGGCCGTCCATGTCAAAAATACAGGCGCGTACGGGTGGGAAGCTACGAAATAATTCCCCATCTGATTAGCTGATTGTCATGGATGGTTTGCCTGTGACCCCAGAAACGGGATGGCTGCAATCACATCATGAGGAGATGAGAAACAAACGTAACTTACTCTGTACGGCGAGGCATTCCAACAAGGTTGAGCCTAAGGCGACTGCATTCACAATGTTCTCAACTTGTTCCAGAGTTCGCAATCAGTGGTTCGGCCAGCACAGCCACACGTCAGAATCCGGTTTAGTTGGGGTTTGGTTTTAGCCATGGCATGCAGATCGCAGAATGGGACAGGGTGTTTATCCAACATGTTGGCAGGGGAGCCACCAAAGCCAAAACTTGTACAGTCTGACGATATGCGCCACATGACCAAAGGCTTCTCGTGGTCATGGGGAGTGTTCAATATTGTCTCTATACGGAAGACGCCGCCACCAAACCAGGAACAATGCAGATCATGCCGAATCAGGGTGACGTCACAGGGCAAACAATGCCACGGCTGAGTGAAGGACGAAGTCGCTGCGTTCGGTCGTTCTACAGGCGCATTCCAAGGGACAACAAGCGAGAGCGTGTGACGCACTTTGTTCCTCATGGTATACAAGTAGAACACACGCAATAGCGGCCGTAGCGGCCTCGCGCATACTTCAACTCTGCTCCTCCCAGTATCATCCAGGCCCATCTCATACCTACCATAGCCTTCCTACCCCCTCTAGCTCGTTAATCTGGTCAGAATCAACTCTCACCAAGCCTTATCATCATGTCGGAAATTGTAAAGGGTGTCAGCAACTTGTTTGCCTCCGTCTTCGAGATCATCACCGGTATCTTCATCACCGCGTTCAACATCTTCGAGGGCGCTTTGAACGCAGTCATTGGCCTCCTCAAGAACACGTTCAACTTGGCCGAAGGTGTTCTTGGCTTCCTCATCGGTAGGTCATCGAGTAGTATGCACTGGAGAAAGAGTCACAGGTCTGACCTGAGCAGGAAACATATTCCTCATCGGAACGCTGTGTGCCATCTACTTCGGGTATGTCTTGTACCAACAACGTCAGGGCAACCGACCGGCTCCGATCTCGAAAGTGGCGACGGGGAAGACACAATGAGCGCGAGGATATACTATGGGTGGAAGCAAGTTGGAATAAGTAATCAGTCCGTGGGAAACAACCGTCAAGTGTATTGGGTTGCAAGCAGGGGCAATTTGCTATAATACGATGTTATAGTGAGGGAGAGGTTTGAGTGAAAGCATGGCAAAGGAGAGAGCGCGGGCCGAGGCCGTCGGCGATGATCGATTGCCTCCTCAGCTTCTCGGTAGAACTGCCATCTGTTGATTCATTTTTCTGTTTCGATTAGCATCGCGACAGCTAGTCCGATATATGGAACGAAGCTATGGTCGGAGAAGGAAAACGAATTTGCTTCGGATGCGTCAGGGCAATAAAGGACAATTGCCGAGGTAAAATGTGCGCCGTGTGAGTGGCTGCGATGCTGCATCTTCAACTGCGCTCACTTGCCTCGATCGCCGAGAACGCTCCCCTTAACCAATGTGATTCCCCTTCAATTTGTGGTTTGTCCTTCCGAATTCCTCCATTGATCCCCAATTCTTCCTCTGTGCATGCGTCAAGGTCTGTGAGCTACAAAAAGCGGGCACCCGTTGACTCTTCGTTCATTTTCGCTACACTCCTTTCTCGTTCCTCTTTGCTGATTCCATTCTACCCCTCCTTTTCTATCAACACCCCATTCCGTCGCGCTCCAAGCGTTTTGCGCCAGACTCCCGGAATCATGTCCAACGTCAAGGAAATCGCGCCCTCCCCTACCGAGGCCGACCTCGATTCGAAATCCTCCGGTGCAGTCAGCACCACCCCCGCGACCTCCGCCGCTCAGCAGAGCGACAACATTGCCCATGCGTTGGCCGGAGCGGGCGGTGGCCTTCTCGCGATGACCCTTACCTACCCCCTGATCACCCTCTCAACCCGCGCACAGGTCGAGTCGAAGCGAGCTGATACCTCCACAATCGCCGCTGTGAGGCACATCATTCAGCGGGAGGGTCTGGGTGGACTCTATGCAGGACTTGAGAGCGCCCTGTTTGGTATTTCGGTCACCAACTTCGTCTATTACTATTGGTATGAGTGGACCCGCGCATTCTTTGAGAAAGCGGCCGTCACAGCAGGTCGGGCCAGCAAGAAGCTCACCACTGTGGAGAGCATGATTGCCGGCGCGATCGCGGGGTCGGCAACTGTCCTCCTCACCAACCCTATCTGGGTCATCAACACAAGGATGACTGCCCGGAAGAGTGATTCTGGAGAAGGTGAACTTCCGGGTGGTGAAAAGAGACAGGTCAAGAAACCCAGCACCATCGGGACCTTGTTGAGCCTTCTCAAGGAGGAGGGGCCTTCGGCGCTTTTCGCCGGCGTGCTTCCGGCTTTGGTCTTGGTGATCAACCCGATCCTACAATATACGATATACGAACAGTTCCGCAACTTTCTGGAGAAGAAGAGGAAGTTTGGTCCTCGTGATGCCTTTTACCTGGGTGCTCTGGGCAAGTTGCTGGCGACGACCATCACGTATCCATATATCACTGTCAAAGCCAGGGCCCACGTGGCAAGCAAAGATGATCCCCATGAGGGAATGTGGAAGAGCCTGAACAGAATCGTCAAGGAGGAAGGCTGGGGCGGCTTGTACAAGGGTGAGCGGGATTCTGTTCTTTCTCACTTCATTGACTAATCTTGTCTAGGTCTCGTCCCTAAAGTCAGCCAGAGTGTCTTGACTGCAGCTTTCCTTTTTGCCTTCAAGGATGTTCTGTATGACATGACCGTCGACATGCGCAGAAGGGCAAAGGCCATCAAAGCATAAGGTCGAGAATCAAAACCGCCTCCAAGGTGGGAGACTCGGCTTCAGGGAAGAATGTCTGGGAATCACAACATCTCCGCGCCAGCATTGCGAGACTCGCGTTGAAAGCGGAAATGGCCCTCTTGCTATCAACATGATGAGATATGTGAGTCGCACTCGCGAAAGAGCTCGCTGGATGAGTCGAAACACAAGGCCATCTAGCGACCAAGCAGAACGAGAATTGGGAAGGGGAGAGGGATGTGGTGTACGCCTCTAAAAGTATTTCAGAGCTGGGGACATGTGTTCTAGGATAGACGGGATGGTAGAGCATCTACTTGTACATTGAATCTATTTGCCACTATTAGAACTTGAACATGGTCAGTAAGCAGGGATCACTTTTTGTATGAGCAGGTAGGTGGGGGGGTAGGTAGGTAGATAGGTAGGTAGGCAAGTACCTAGTCAAGGTAAATAGGTCGTGGAAGAAAATACAAGTACCGCATACCTAATGTATAACATGATCATTTTTCAACTGCCGCTAGGCTAATTAATTTCTAGGCCAGGATTTGCGGCGCCCCATGGCTCAAGGGCATACGCCAAGGCATCTCCCGGTCCTATACTACACGAAGACGTCAAATCTCTCGCGTCCCTTGACTGATTCCCACGCCCAGGCAGGTGTTTCCAGCGCTTCTCAAAGCATAGGGTCGAGTTGTCTCTGCTTGTGCACAAGAGGGTCCATTTTTCTGCCACATGAGGTCGATGGAAAGAAACCCCTCCCACAGCCAGCGACGTAAGTACGCTGCTCAACGACCCCAGCAATGCGGCGAGAGCTACAACCTATTCTTCTCCAGTGTTTGATCAGCCGCAGTGTACTCAAGACCCACCCCGCCGTGTCACCTTTTGTAGACGAATCTATTCAAGGCATCTGGAACCCACTCCGCAAAGGGCGTAATTGAGGACTCGATTGCAGCTTTTGACTGGATAAACGTCGTCGAAGCGGATCAGGCTGGAAGACCCATCTGATGAGGCGTCTGAGGTCTGGAACGAAAGGATCAAGTATATCGAGACTTCCGGAATCCAGGGCACGACAGGACACGGATAATGTCGAGGTCAAGAGGGTTAACGGGGAATGAAAGAGCTGGGAATGCGAACCAAGTCGAAGTGTGATGTTGTGCCTCATGCGAAATGCAGGCGACAGGTACATAAATAGTAGGCAGAACCGCTGAGTCACGGGGATCATGTGTTGTCAGGGATCCCAGTCGTGGTTCGTCAACCCAACCACACTTTACTTCTCTACCAAACTTTTCGCCGTGAGGACCTATCTATCTACCCACGGGTGTCTACGCTCCGTGACTGGTGAACCATATCGTTCTATTCGTCCCAGAAAATGTCTAGCTGCAATAAATTACCCTCTTCATTCCTCTATTCCCGTCTTAAGGTCAGGGTTTTCGCACTGAGCAACTACCTACTGCCTCTACGGAAATCCTGGACGCTGTAATTTATTACAAGGGCCTGATAGTAATCAGCTTCTGACACTGAAATTGGTCTCTGGCCCTTTGAAATTTGATTCTCACGATCCCAAACTCTCTCCTCAACACTTTCGATCATTACAATGGCGGGAAAAATCCACACGAGGCTTCTTATCCTGTCCGATACACACGGCGAGGATTTTGGCTCCGAGGATCGGCCTCAACAGCGTGTGGATGTGGCTCTGCACTGTGGTGACCTCACCGACGGCTCAAAACTAGAAGAATTTCGGACCTCGATCGAGATGCTCAAGAAGATTGATGCTCCTCTCAAATTAGTCATCGCTGGAAACCATGATTTCGCCATGGACATTACTGCCTTCGAATCCAAACTTGCGGAGGCATCGCAACCCCTGGATCCTGAGATTGTGGCTCGTGAATACGGCACCCTAGGCCAAGCTAGACAACTATTCGAGGACGCAAGGAGCGAGGGAATCGTCTTTTTAGTTGAGGGAACCCACCGTTTCACACTTGAAAATGGAGCGATGCTAAAGGTTTATGCCAGTCCGTACACTCCCGCCTTGGGTGCATGGGGATTTCAATATCACCCAAACAACGGGCGCCGGTTCGATATCGAAGAAGACACCGACGTCGTCATGACGCACGGCCCTCCGAAAGGCATCATGGACATGACTCACGGCCGCGAACGTGCGGGTTGTCCCGACCTCTTTACCGCCGTGGCCCATGCCCGACCCCGCGTCCACTGTTTCGGCCACATCCACGAGGGTTGGGGTGCAAAGGTGGTGACCTGGAAAGACAGCGGGTTTGACCAACCATCCCATTTCACCTCCATCGACAACGAAAATTCGCCAGTTGTCGAGAAATTGGCTACGCTCCGAGTAACCACATTCGACTCAGACGAGACCATCCAGGAAAAGCGCGCGAAGCTGGAACAGCTGAAAAACAATAAATGTGCCACAACAAGTCACTGCAGCCAAGATGACTATGAGCTGGGTGCAGGCAAGGAAACACTGTTCGTCAACGCCTCCATTGTGGGACACGAGGGCTTTGTGCAGAGACCCTGGTTGGTCGATTTGGAGCTTGCGAAGCACACGGCATTGAAGATGCGGCCATTTGTCCAAAATTTGTGTTGAGAAAATACAAATTAAGACATGATGAAATGGTATGTAAGCTGTCAATTATTGACGCTTAATACTGCTCCCAGCACCAAGCGATCCAGCTTCCCCAGACTAGACTCCCCTGCGCCGCGCATACACTTCAGTTCCTCATCGCCGAGCTCTGGAAGTAATTGACCCATGCACGCCACCCTCGACAATAGCCATTGAAAGTCTTCAACTTCGCCATCGCTCCCCCGATCGACCACCGTCACGGCCCGCAATCTCAACAAATCCGACACGGACGCAACAGACCCTTCAAAGAAGGGTTCCGTCACGTGAATCCGTTCGATGCACCCGTTGCCGATCTCGAGCAGGTCGACTCGGATTCGGATGTCTTGTCTAGGGGCATCGAACGAGATTTTGCCGTCGGATTCGAAGGAAAGGTTGGGGGCGCCGGCCAAAATACCCTTCCAGATATCAGTTAACGCGCTGGAAGGGGCCGCAACATCCACGTCCTCTGTCACAAGGACCGAGGAGTGGGCAATGCTGGCTGCGCCGCCAACCAGGATGGTATGACGACGCAATTCTGGCCGGACTAGGCGGAAGCACTCTTCGAGTGCTTCCCGCAGTGGTGCAGCGATGGTGGAGTTGGACTTCGGCATATTTCGAGGGTAAGAGACGTGCAGGGTATTGCAGAGTGGCTATTTACATTGTCAGTCAGCTTTTAGCCTTCTTGAAAATGTATCATCAACTCTTACAGGAACTGGGCGGGCAGGCAGGCAGGGGAGGTCTGGTTCCGGCTGGGGTCGCTTGCTGTATGCATCTGTCAGTAATTCCATAGTATACACGAGGAACTGCTTACGGCTGGGAGCAATATAATCGATGCAGGTGTTGATTTGTACTCGCATCTATTTATCATTAGCTCTCACCATAGACTCATGTATAGCTATACTCACGAAACTTATACATCTATGCTATGTGCTGAGGAATGATCAGGGGACGGGGTCAGTAGAAGACGGTATACTCTTCGACTTCCCATAGCTCCTTCCCTTGACTACTTCGAATTTGCCCCGGTAGTCAGTCGTATTGAGGAAGCTGAGGGAAGTCGCTGGAAGGTGCAACAACAACATGATCTCACATCCCAGATTCCAATATCCAGAACCCGGAAATCGAGGTCACGCCTCCCAAATCCCAAAGAGCGATGCAGTAGACATTGATATTCTCTCGTCAATGAAACTATTTTCTTCCTGTCTCATGAAAACTAAGGACGACAGGACGACGCATACGACCAGGGACCCGTCCTGGTACAAGCAACGGCAACGCGAAGACGACGACGCAGATGGTGCCAACTGTATTCTTGGAAGCTATATCCACGTTGTTGTCTTGTCAGCTCGCACAGGAGCAGAATGACTAGCTTCTTTGATGAGATGGACGAGATTTCCGGTGCTCTATGCTGAGGGAATTGTATCTCTGCGACGTGGTGTGGATTGATCTAGGACAGGGCCACATTTGGGAGATACGTCGACTCGGGCGCACCATCCATCTCTCGTTGAGGTTATCCAGGAATCGGGCATGGAAGTCATCACGGACTCTCCGCTACAAATGGAGTCGGATGGTCGGAACGATGACTCGCCCCAGCTCTTGTCCTTGTACACAAGAGGTAATGCCCAAGACCACATCCAAGCAAGTTGCGTGATTCGGCTTGACATTCCGTCGCACACCAGCCAATCGGGCTTGCACTACACTTACCAGTTCGCTTGGTAAACAAGAAAATTGGTCCGCGACCTGGAAATTTGCGGAGTGCGGATTCGGCCGAATCGCAACACTGATGGTATGTACCTCCCCTTACACAGAGGTCTCGAAGGTATGGACATTCTTTATATCCCCGTTATATCTCCTTTCACGGAAAGAAATCCTCTATATCTACGGATAGTAAATTACATTTGTCCCAACACAGGCGACCATGACCAAACCAATTCGCGTGGGCTTTCTTGGCCTGTCCTCTGATGAAAACGCTCACCTCGCCGGCGCGTGGGGTAAGAATGCCCACCTCCCGTACTTTCAAAAGTCTCCGGACTACACCATCACGGCCCTTTGCAACTCATCTGTCGAATCGGCGGAGAAGGCGGCAAAGAAGTACGGCCTGGACACTGGGGCCAAAGTCCGCACGTATGGCGACCCAGAGTCTCTCGCCAAGGACGACAACGTCGACCTGGTTGTCTGCTCTGTAAGAGTTGACAAGCATTATCGTCTCATCAAACCGGCTTTGTTGGCCGGAAAGTCTGTCTTCTGCGAGTGGCCCCTAGCCTCGAACCTGGAGCAGATGCAAGAATTGGCCGACTCGGCTGAGCAGAAGAAGCTCAAGACCATAGTGGGCTTGCAAGGTCGCACCGGTGCCTACATTCACGCCATCAAGAAGTTTATTGGCAATGCAGAAGGTCAGTTGGGTGATATCCTCAGTACCACCTTGACGGGAAGCGCGTTCCTTCTGGGTCTAGCGACTCCAAAGGAGACGGCCTACTTGACGGACATCAAGAAAGGGGGGAATATGTTCACGATCACGGCCATACATTGTGAGTGATCCCTTACCTTCTGCGGTACAAGTCTCAACAACGGTGGGGGTTTTCAATCTAACACAGTTGCTCTGCTCTTCCTCAGTGCTTGATACTCTCACTGCTGCTCTAGGTGAGATCGAATCCCACAATATTGTGCTCAGAAACAAACGTCCCACGGTCGCATTGACCGATAGCACTTTCAATATCGTCGAACAGTCGTATCCCAACAGCACGCCAGATCACATTCTCGTGAATGGTGTCCTTAAGGGTGACATTCCCTTCAATTTTCACGTCCGCGGCGGGCTACCATTCAAGGACACCCCGGCTTTCGACTGGCGCATCTACTACACCAGGGGCGAAATCAGAATCACCGGGAACGAAATGCTTTGGCTGGGTGGTGACATCAAGGTGCAGGTGTTTGACTTCCTGGCCAACAAGGTCGAGGATGTGGATTTGAACCAAGTGCTACAGGAGGATGTGAAGGACGACGTTGCCCTTAAGATGGGGTTGAAAGCTCCGGCGGACAACGTGGCCAGGCTCTATGAGGCGTTTGCGAAAGGTGAAACCGACAAGTACCTGGACTTCAAGCAGAGTTTGAAGTGGGCGCATTTTATTGAGGAGGCATACATCGCCAATGGGTTTCCGACCAAATAGTGAAGGGTTTGTCTAAATCTCAGAGCTGAGCTTTTCAAGCAGGCGCAGAGCCTACGTATTGTCTACCATGTCTGTGGCTTTGCTCTTCAAAAGGCTCACGGAGTAACCCGGATCTGCAGCACCTCAGAAGAGTGTGAGCCCATTGGATATCGAAATATAACGCAAGTCACCATGACCTATTTGGTGATGGTCAGCATGGTATTTTGTACAAACAAAGACATCCATGACAATCGCAACCACAGTCATTGCAATTAGTGAAGAAAGATACAAACCCTGATGGACTTGTCTCTCAGCCTTGCCAAGACGGAAAGCGAACATCAAAGCTTCTTTGATATACGATACGACGTCTGAAGTTTTTCAATCTTTTGTCTTCATCCTAGATAACACTTTCGCAGGACAGACAGAGTTAGACCGCGATGGCCCCTGGCAGCGAACCTTCCCGTATGGAACTGAGAGAATATGTTGGCGACCAGCAAATTACCGATCGCTCTAATGCCCATGAAACTGCGTCTCTCCCTTCAGTCGATGGTGGAAAGGCGGCATGGCTCTTTCTTTCCGGCAGCTTCTGCATCGAGATGCTTCTCTGGGGTAACTACCCACGGTCACCTTCTCGCCTGAGACCCTGCCATCTAACTTTGTCTCCAGGCTTTCCATTCTCTTTCGGTGTGCTACAGGATTACTATTCAACCCACCCGCCTCTTTCTCGACATCCTGCGGGTATTTCCGCCATCGGGACAACATGTTCGGTATGTTAGCACTCACGTCGGCACAACGAAGGCTTGCGAATCTGAGTCGTGTTGCTAGGGAATCATGTACTTGGGCGCGCCGCTAGTGTTCCTTGCCTTTCAGAGATGGCCGATATTCCTGCGGCGGAGTCTCTTCGTTGGCCTGCCCGTTGTCGTCCTCGCCGTCTTTCTCTCGAGCTTTGCCACCAAGACCTGGCATCTCGTTCTTACCCAGGGGATTCTCTACGCCATCGGCGGCAATCTCGTCTACTACCCCATCTACAGTTTCATTGACGAGTGGTTCGTCCGCCGCAAAGGGTTCGCCTATGGGGTCATGTGGGCTGGTTCTGGATGTGGTGGGTTGGCTGGTCCGCTGGTGCTTCACTGGGGCGTCAGCAAGTATGGTGTCGAGACTTTCTTGAGGGGCTGGTCAATTGCTCTGGTACGTCTTCCACCAGCCAGTGCCTTTCCAAACTCGCACTCTGCTCACGATCTTGTGTAGTTCGTGTTGATCGCTCCATTTCTGTATTTTGTCAAACCACGGATTCCTCCTTCCCGCTCTCACCGAGCACCGGTACGAGCTATTATTGCTGGGTTTGGGTTTGTCAAGACAAGGCAATTCTGGGCCATAGAGATCTGCAACATCATTCAAGGGCTGGGATACTTTGTTCCTCAGCTCTATCTTCCCAGTAAGAACATTGGCGCTCCATTGAGACCCCTGTGGTTTGAAATATGTGGTTAACCTGTCACAACAGCCTATGCCCGCGTCAATGGCCTTCATTCGGGCTCACTCCTCGTATCACTGCTCAACGTTGCACAAGTCCCAGGTGTCATGGTCCTCTCCGCTCTGTCAGACAAGGTCCCCGTGTACACCGTCATCCTGATCTCGTCGCTGGGATCAACCCTGGCCATCTTCCTTCTCTGGGGTCTTGCGTCATCCTCGACGGGTCTGCTGATAACGTTTGCCTTGTGCTATGGATTCTTTGCCGGTGGGTTCACGGCCGTCTACGCCGGCGCCGCTCAGGAGTTCCGCCGTGTCACCCCCGGCGGAGACACGGGGCGCGCAGACCTGGGCAGCATGATGGGACTCCTCGGTGGCGGAAGAGGGATCGGAAACGTGGTGTGCGGTCCTGTCAGCGAGGCACTACTGCACGGCAGCAGCGTCGCAGGGTGGAAAGGTGCAGCAGGCGCCTACGCAGGCAGCTTTGGGCCACTCATTGTCTTTGCGGGCACAACGGCGGCGTTGACCATGTCGAGTTGGGCGGCCAAGGCCATGAAGATTGTTTGAGCTCTGGAAATCAGAACAGGAAGCCGTCAACATCGACAGTGAGTGGCTGGCTTCACTTGACTCTCTTGTACGATTGGGGCCAACCGATATATCGATCCATATCATTTTTGTTGCCATTGGTCGAATGCCTCATGCCGAGTGCCTACGAGGAGAACCAGCCACACTCAACCCTACTTCCAGGTACATACAATCTCCGAAGACACGGTCAATTCGTCACTCATCTATCTTTGCTGGTAGACAAAATGGCTATCAAGACACCTGCATTCTATTGCAGTCTATAACCCAGCACCTCCGCCCTCTCCGCCTCGCTCAGCTTGTCCACTCCTAGCGGCGGCAAAATGGGCTGCGACCCCTGGACAAAGTCGAAATGCCCAATCCTCTTGGTGAATGCGACATCCGCGGCGCCGCGCACGGGACCGCGGGGATCATTTCCCGCGATG